AAAAATCTTCCAACAAAGAAAAGTCTTGAATCTGCTAATTTCACTAGTCAATTCTTCCAAACATTTAAAGAAGAAATAATACCAATTCTTCTCAAACTCTTAACAAAAAACTAAGAGGAGGGAAAACATCCTAACTTACCCATTGAGGATAATATTACCTTGATACCGAAATCAGAAAAAGACTATAAGAAAAGAAACTATTATGACCCTTATGAACTTTGATGCAAAAATCCTCAACAAAATACTAGCAAACAGAACTCACCAGCATATTAAAAATATTATGTATCATGACCAAGTGGGATTTATCCCTGGAATACAAAGATGATACAATATATGAGATTCAATATACCATATTAACAGAATGAAGGAAACACACACATAATCTTATCAATTGATGCAGAAAAAAGCATTTGGCAAATTCAACACCCTTTTAATAGTCAAAAATCTTAGAAGAAAACTACCTCAAAATAATAAAGGCCATATATGAAAAACCTACAGGTAAGACTGGACTCAGAGGTGGACTTAAAGCTTTCTCTCTAAGATCAAAAGTAAGGATGCCTACTTTCACCACCTCTATTAAACATAGTAATAGAAGTCTTAGACAGAGAAATTGGGCAAGAAAAAGATATAAAAGATAACCAAATTGGAAGGAAAAATGTAAAATTATCTCTGCTCACAGATGACATGATTTTATATAAAGAAAACCTAAAGATTATACACATACATCACACACACACACACAGAGCCATTAGAACTAAAAAAAAAAAAAAAATCAGCAAAGTAGCAAGATACAAAAAGAATACACAAAAATCCGTTGAATAAAGAAAAGAAAATTAAGAAAACAACTCCATTTACAATAGCATATAAATAATAAAAAAAGTCAGATTAACTAACAAGAAGGTGAAAGACATTCACTAAAAACCGCAATACATTACCAAAAGAAATTAAAGACATAAATAAATGAAAAGACATCCTGCATTCATGGATTAGAAGGCTCACTACTGTTGAAATGGCAATATTATCCAAAGCTAGCTACTAATTCATAATGTCATTTTTTATGAAAATAGAAAAATCCATCCTAAAATTTATATGGAATCTCAGGGAGCTCTATGTAGCCAAAACATTCTTGAGAAAGAACAAAGCTGGATGGTACATGCTTCCTGATTTCAACATTTACCACAAAGCTAAGGTAATCAAAACAGTATGGTACTGACATAAAAACAGACAGACTTATAGATAGAGAGCTCAGAAATAAACCCTTAAATACATGGTCAAATGATTTCTGACAAGGGTACCAAGATGAAATGGTGTCAGAAAAACTGGATACCCACCCACAAAAGAATGAAGCTGGACCTAACACCATATGCAAAAATTAATTCAAAATAAATCAATATACATGATGGACATGTAAGAACTGAAACTAGGAACTCTTAGAAGAAAATATAGGGGAAAATCTTCATGACATTGGATCTGGCAATGATTTCTTACATATAACACCAAAAGTACAGTCAACAAAAGAAAAATAAACTGAACTTCATCAAAATTAAAATCTGTGCATCAAAGGAAACAACAGAATAAAAAAGCAACTCATATGTTGGGAGAAAATTACTTGCAAATCACATATCTGATAAGAGATCAAACAAAAAAACTGCCACAGAATTACCATTTCATCCAGCAATTCCACTTCTGGGAACATACACAAAAGAATGAAAAACAATGACTCATATATCTGTGCTCCCATGTTCATGTTAGGATTATTCCAAAGGGCCAAAAATGTGAAAACAACCCAAATGTACACTGTTGGATGGATGGATGAACAAGGTAAACAAAATATGGTATATACATGGGGATAGAATATTATTCAGTCTTATAAAGGAAGGAAATTCTGATACATCCTACAACATGGCTGAATCTTGAAGAATTATACTAAATGAAATAAACCGGACCCAAAAGGATGAATAGTGTGTGATCCACTCACAAGTCAATTAATAGAGACAAAGTAGAATAGAGGTTATCAAGGGCTGAGGGGAGTATTACTTAATAGGCACAGAGTTTTAGTATGGGATGATGAAAATTCTGGATATGGATAGCAGTGATAGGTTCACAGCAATGTGAATATGATCAATGCCACTGAACAGTACACTTAAATATGGTTAAAATGGTAAATTTTGAGGCGCCTGGGTGGCTCAGTCTGTTAAGCAGCTGCCTTCGGCTCAGGTCATGGTCCTAGGGTCTTGGGATCAAGCCCCGCATCCGGCTCCCTGCCCAGCAGAGAGCTTGCTTCTCCCTCTCCATCTGCCTGCCACTCTGCCTGCTTGTGCTCTCTCTCTCTCTGTCAAATAAATAAATAAAATCTTAAAAAATAAATAAATAAAATGGTAAATTTTATGTTATGTATAGTTTACCACAATAAAAAAAGCCATTGGCCATATGAGTGTGGGTCTGTTTCTGGACTCTATAATGTTCCATTTGATTCACGTGCCTGTACTTGCGACAATATCACATTGTATTCATTTTGGCAACTTACAGTGAGTTCTGAAATTAGGAAGTATAAACACTCCAACTTTGTTCTACTTATTAAAGATTGTTTGGGCTGTACTGAGTCTTTGTATTTCCATGTAAATCCTAGAATCAACTTGCCATGGTCTACAAAAATATTTTGGGGATTTTAATTGATATCGGGTGTTTAGGAAGATGTGAAAACTTAGTATTTAGTTACATTTCTCCATTTACTTGTTTACTTTCATTTCATTTATCACAGTTCTATAGTTTTCAAGGTAAAAACTTTGTACATATTTTGTTAAATTTATTCCTGAGTGTATTATCTCTTCAATGTATTGTGGATTCCATTTTTATTTTGTTTGTTGCAAATTATGGAAATACAATTAACTTTGGACATTGTCCTTATTTCCAGCAACCTAATTTGTATGTTACTCTATTTCTTGTAGATTACTTAGGGGTTTCTATGTACACCAACATGACATCTAAAATAGAGCTGTTTACCTCTTCTTTCCCAACTGTTATGCCATTTATATCCATTTCCTGACTTACTGTACAACCAAAACAATATTGAGTAAAAATGAAGCAAGTGATGATCCTTGACTTGCTTACAGCCTCAGAGAGTATCTTCAATATAAACTATAATGTTAGTGGAAGTGTTCATTAGAGGCTTATTGAATTAAGGGAGGTCCATGCTATCCAGACTTTGCTGAAAGTATTTCTTATAAATGACTGTCAAATTTTGTCAATTGTTTTTTTATATTTGTTGGTTTTATCATAGGATTTTTCTCCTTAATTCTGTCAAGTTCTTCCCAGTGTTCTATTCAAAAGAGAGATTGGGTTTTTGTGTATTAACTATTTTGACTACATAGTTTAAAATCAGTTAACATTATTTCAGTATTGATAGACTGAATTTTACAAATTACAACACTTTACTTACCTAGAATTTGTGTAATATATTCATTACAGAGAGTTATATGTATGAATCATATTGCTTCACTGAAAAGAGAGAGAGAGAGGAGAGAAGGAGGAGAAGGAGGAAGAGGGAAGGAAGAAAAGAAAGAGTAAAAGGAAGAAAGAAGGATGAAGAAAGAAGAAAGAGAAAGAAAGAAAGAAAGAAAGGGAGAAGAAAGAAAGAAAGAAAGAAAGAAAGAAAGAAAGAAAGAAAGAAAGAAAGAAAGAAAGAAAGAAGAAAGAAAGAAAGGAAGGAAGGAAGGAAGGAAGGAAGGAAGGAAGGAAGGAAGGAAGGAAGGAAGGAAGGAAGGAAGGAAGGAAGAAGGAAGGAAGGAAAAAAGGGAGAGAAAGTGACCATTGTCTGCTATTCTTTTATTAACTAAAAGGAAGAATGGGCACTCCATAAGAACAATTTAATCAGCTTTGACAGCCAGACCCATGATTCAGGGTGATTTAAATGGTCTGTGACAAAAGAATAGTTAACAGTCTGCAAAATGTCCATTATCTTTAGTTAGCAAGGGCCTATGGATTTAGGACCTGGTGTGACTCCCATAGGATGTTGGTGAAAAGTGAGGTGGAAACTCCAGCTCAGCATTATTCACCACCAACAAAATACTCCAAGGTAAATCTGTGAATAAGCTACAAATTAAATCTTTGTGCTAAATAGCTATAGATGTCTGGGAATCCAGGAAGAGTACTGTTTGTTATTTGCTGTAATTTGCTTCTGAGATCACATTTGGTAACACTGTTAAAATAATGTCTTTAATGTTATTACATAATAAATGATAAATTCTAAAAGTTGTCCTCTTTAATGTTAAAATTGTCTTGTCGAATATAATCTAATTTCACCTAAAGATGTCTTCCACAGCTGTACTTCAGTGCTTATAAGCAGACCAATGAGTTTTGAGCGATAATTTATGGCTCTTTCTGAGGCTGGATTAGCAGCAGGGTAACATGCCAAACAGTTAGAGCGTTAGACAGAACTTGCTATGATGCTTGGGCATAATTCTATCAAGGAGGTCCATGGAATCATTCATGCACAATCCCCTGGAGAAAAGCATTGCCATTGAGTCCAGTGACTGCCACCTAAAGCCTCATGCTTCTCAAATGCAAAGCATCGGGCTCCACCTTTGTACCACCTCCAAAAGTCCAGTGCATTGCAAGATAAGACTGGGGCAGGAAAAACTGCCCTGCACTGTTCTCAGATAGTCCCTCTGTATGAAAAGGTAGAATGCACTTTCTCAAGATCAGATAATACAAGTGTCACTGCAGCCACTTAATAACTGGAAGTCAAAGAGATGCCCTAATGTGTGGGGATGGGCCATAATGGTTGGCTGTGGACTTAGGTTTGGTACTTATACAAGGACACTGCTTACTTAATAATGTCAACAAAAATTACATGCAGGAGGATTGACTATGCTCTGTACGTAAAAGGAAAATATATTATGAATTTTCTGTGAATAAACATTTTTATTAACAAAAAAATTGAAAACAAAACAAAACAAAACAAAAAAACAAAAAACTTCAACAGAAGGAAAGCTACTTACACCAGAATAGAAAGGCTCACCAGACACACATATCACATCCTGTTCCTGGATCATCAAAATATCTTTGGCTAGGTGCAGTCGGACTTTGAAAGGCTCCTGATTACCATCCTGCAGCAAACAAATCCCTGTCTTTGTCTTCAGGCAAGAAAAGAACAAAACAGAGAAAAAAAAATTATACTTAGTTTATAGAATATAATTTCATGGCCTATTCACAGCAAAACATGATGAATAGCATTTGAGAGCTAAGGAAAATGCACTCTGATGAATCTGGAGCATAATACTTAATATAGGTGCAGAGACAAGGTTAACAATTTCATGTGAAGTAGACCTCAGGTAATGGAGATTTGTCAGAAAATCCACATAAGATTAGGAGAGTAAAGAGTATAGTTTATACACTATATTTGAAAAATAATGGAAGTTTTGTTTAATACTTACAATCTAAATATAAAATTTTTGGTAACAGATTTATTGAGATACAATTTACATTCTATACAATTCAACCCTTTAAGATGTGTAAGACAGTGCTTTTTATTACAAAGTTGTGTAGGCATAATTATAATCAACTTTAGAGCATTTGCATCACTCCAAAAGGAAAACTATTACGTGCATCATCCCACTCCCCTCCCCAGCCCTAGGCAACCACCAATCTACATTCTGTCTCTATCATAGAATTTTGAATCTGAAACCATACCCACTTAACATCTTTTCTATCCTCCAAGATTTCATCATTCCTAGTCGCCACACACACACACACACACACACACACACACACACACACAGGCTGTACAGATGAGAAAATGAGGATAAAGGGGGAAGTGAACTGCTTAAATTAATACAGTTAATTAAAAACAGAGCCTGGCTTAGGACCCACGATTTGTGATTTCCAATCCATTGTTTTTGCCTCACATATTTTTGGGAATTGTAAAAACAGCCTGTGAAGACTCCTGAACTTGTACTACATAGCTTTACACCAGTATCTCAGTAATCACTGAAGAAGCCCATGAAGCCCATCACTCCTGAAGCATGTCGGTGTACAATGTTCACCCAGATAAATAGAAATATGCTCCTTAGCAAATGCACTTAAGGTTCCCATTTGTCAGAAATACAAAAGGAAATTTTTTTGAAACAGAAAATAATCACTGGCTGTCATTCTGCACCAAAAAGTCAACAGGAACAATGACCACTTTGGCAATTACATTTTCATTTAATAATTATTAAACCATTCTTAATTTGGATAAAAAAAGGATAAGTATATAGAAATGTGTATTTATCCTTAGTATTTAATGAGCACAAAACTCCAGGCACTGATACCAGGCTTTCTCTTGGAATATAAATTTACATATGGATTGCTAGGAGTTTATTTCTTTAAAAGAATGTTTCATAATGTAAATGGGAACAGACTTACTGATGCCTCTAAAGATAATCCTTTCTGTAAATGCTTTATCCCCTGTGCTAATACATACCATTGTACTCTCTATCACTGTGGTCTTATATTAGTCTGTAATTATATTGTAAGGGTTATGATATCTTTTAAGGAAAAACAAGTTTTTTCCAGGTGCAAGGATGCTGTTCTTTCCTCCTTTATATGAGACAGGCACACAGCATGCACTCACTAAATTGTGTCGATTAATCTATTCTAGAGCATAACTCAAGTGGATATGTCTAGAGGACAAAAATATTTCAGCAAAGGCAAATGATATTTTCCTTAATATAGAACATAATTTTCTACATTTTTCACAGAGAAAAGTCTTTCATGCTTACAATGTGATCTTGGCTGGGAGCCAACATCAGGACTCTCTGAGGTGGCATGGCAAAGAGGAGGGTATAAAATAATATCAAACCCAAGTGAACATAATTGAGCACATTTGCTGATTTTTTAATGTACAGTACATTCGGGCCAATTTTCTTCCAGAAGTATAATGGAATAGAGCTGGCAATCACAAATAATGCTCTATCTCAACATGAGGATGAAAGAGGGGCTTTCCCTGAGAGCCCATAAATACATTATTGTTACACATCAAAGAGCTATCAAAGATCATCCAGGGAAAGTTTGAGGGACAAAAACACAGCTATGAGACTTCTCTCATCACATCCAATGTGGTCAAAGTGCCATTCACTCAAATAATGTATAAAATGTCCCCTAGTTATTAGAAAGTTGTCTGCAAAACAGAATACAGACTTTGAGCTCACATTTGGGTCCTGAAAATACAGAATTAAAACAAAGAATGAAGTAGCTTTTGTTAAAATGAATACACACACACACACACAAACATAAATAGCTATTTGAAGAAAACAGAAAATAGTACTAATGAAGCTTATCAACAAATTCAACTTAAATTCATTCTTTAGGGGTTATAGATGTCACATAATATCTTATTATAAAAATTCAGCTGTGTACATGAAAATACATTTAAAATCCCATAATATATCAATTTTTCAAATAATTTGTAAATAATTGAGATGTGAATCAGACAATAGTCTCTGACCTCAGAGGAGTATTCTTACTTACAAAAATATACATATATACATAAGATGCCATGTGATATCTGATGTGGGAGCAACATGGAGAGAAGAGTTAAATATTCTTGGGGGAGGGAGGTGTTAAAGAAAGTTTTATAGATAAAAAAAATGTATGGCTTGTCTTAAAAAATAAATTGAGGAAATAATTAGAGAAGACAAAAGTTATTTTATTCAAGACGGAGAAAGGAGTAAAATATGAAAGCATAAGAATGGATAGCTAACATGATTCAAGAAGAGAGAAGCATGAGAATGCATCAATCCTAAATCTGCATGATCCAGCAAAGTCCAAGGGAGGAGAGGTGCCAGGTGAAGAGGAGGAAGGTCAGGGCCCTTATGTGATGTTCTAGGAGTTTAAAGGTATTGGGGATGTCCTAGAAAAATCTGAACAGTGATTTATGTTTTATAAATACATTTCTTAGAGCAGGAGATGGATAGGAATTGGGAAAGTTACAACATAATTTTTGTTAACAGAAATATAAACCTTGAGCAGAAGATGTTGAGGGCTGGTAAACAACTGCATTAGAATCAGAGCTGGTACAGTAGATTAAAAGAATGGGTAAAATCCGTTTCAGGGCACTCTTCTGATTCAGAGCAGCACTGCTGGACTGGTATCACCACTAGTGAAATGGAGCCCTATATTCATTTGTTGTTTAATAACCACTTGCACAAAGTTTACTGTGTTTCCAGAAATATTATTTCTTTTGATCCTCCTAGCAACCCAGTGCAACTGTTTTCATAAGTAGGAATAGAGCAGAGGAGCAGAAATGAATGGAACTCAGGATCTGAACCCAGGCTGCTGGGCTCCAGAGTCTGTGCTCCAAACCACTTGCTCTGATTTCCCTCATGCACAGATCATTTGAAGGCTGCCTCACCCAATCCTCCTAGAAACAGTGACATGGCCATCAGTGTCTCTCACCAGGAGGTAACACTTCGGTCACCAAGAATCTCCTACGGGAGTGCAAAGAGTTGTGAGAAGGCCATCATCACGAACCCACTGTTCTTCCTTTATCAAAAGCAATAACCAATGGTGGGGGGGGTAAAGTGAGTGAGACCGCTCTGATCTGATGATTTTCCCATCAAAGACAAACTACTGAGGATGCATAGGACACTGTCTGATATGGGGAGAGGCTTAATCTGCACAGCCTCATCCCCCATAGATTGCTTCAGGGTTAAGAATGGGAACCAGGACTGTGAGTGACCACGAGCACAGCACAACTGCTGAAAAATAAAAAAACAAAAAAAATCTCCTAAATAAGTATTGGCTGCACATTTAGTATAAACTTAAGTCCTGCACCTATCTGTTTCTTTTTTAACATTGACAATCATCTGTCTTCAAACTTTGTGGACTGTGTACTCATTGCACATAAGTAAAGAGATGTATGTGCTCTATGTAAATTATAAAACGTACATACAACTTGAAATTTTAAAGGGATGACTCATAAAAAATAATATAGATTCAAATGTTGTTTTCCTGTGCCTGATGGATGATACTCTATTGCAGGGGGATTTTACAAAATCCACATTGTTTGTTTAGAGGAATATTAAAAGGCCATGCCTCTTGATTATTTAACAGGCAATACTTTTTAAAATCTAGTCATTGACTTGTTTCTGTAAATCAATGAAGTGTGTCTATGGATTTACATGGATTTACTCTGTTTTAAACAAACAGACCTCACATTTAAACTTAACAAGAATTTATGCTTAGCTTAAACCTATTACCTTGGAACTTTAAAAAATCGGCTATGATTCCTTTATACTTAAAAGTTAAGGCCTCTTTGGGCATCTGGGTGGCTCAGTCAGTTAAGCATCTACCTTCGGCTCAGGTCATGATCCCGGGGTCCTGGGATTGAGTCCTGCCTTGGTCTCTGTGCTCCACAAGGAGTCTGCTTCTCTGTCTGCCCCTCTTCCCACTTGTTCTCTCAATCTCTCTCTCTCAAATAAATAAATCTTAAAAAGTTAAAGCATCTTTAATTTAGGTTTTAGACTTTGAAAGAACATGTGCTTTCACGAAAAAATTTTTTAAAGATTTTATTTATTTATTTATTTATTTATTTATTTAGAGCAAGTGTGTGAGCAGGAAGAGAGAGAGAGAGAATCTCAAGCAGACTCTGCACTGAGCGCAGAACCTGACATCATGACCTGAGCCAAAATCGAGTCAGATGCTCAACCAACTGAGCCACCCAGGTGCCCCTGCTTTCATGAAGCTTTTAAACTCTATGCTCCTTTATTCTTGAAATCAGACATAAAAAACTACAAACTACAAGGAACTGGGCAGAGACCATGACATGTCCTGTACATAGTTTTTCAGGTATCCTTGATATTTCCATATTTTGATTGCCAGATATAACTTAATTTGTTCTGTAAACGTACAGTTTTAAATGACATGTAATTTCTTATACCCTACCATATTATAGCAATATTGCCCTAAATGCCGTTTGATGCAGTATGCCTCCAATTGCATTTTGTCTTCCCTTGTCATGGCCTTTTCCTTGGCTAAATTCTAGCCATTTGTCGAGTACTAGTACATGACTCACTTCGCCTTGAGGTTTACCAAGACCACTCCATCCAAGACAAGTGCTTCCTTTTCTGAACTCAGGGTTTTCATTGAATAAATATATTCACCTAACAATTAACCAGAACTGTATTTAGGCATCACATGTAGTGACTTCAATAATATCACAATATTTAACCTCATCACATACATTGTTATCACAAGAAGATCTTAATAATAAGTTAACACCGTTTTTATCATTAAAGACTATTCATATATAGGACCTAGTACAGTGTTTAATTGATAGTAGGATTTCTTTCAATATGTGTTGATTGAATCATAATCACAAATTCTTATTATATGAAGGACTAAATTAAATTATATATGTAAATGAATTTTAAATTATTAAATATATGCTATAGAAAAATATGTATTTTCATGGTCAACACAAAGATGTGGATCATATTTTAAGGAAGACAGATGTGAAAATGAAATTTGAGGAATACCTACACTAAAGATAGCATAGTGGTTTCTTGAACACATTGTAATTTTATTTTTTTTAAAGATTTTATTTATTTATTTGAGAGAGAGAGAGCACGAGCAGGAGGAGGAGAAAAAGGGGCAGAGGGAGAAGGAGAAGCAGACTCCCTGATGAGCAGGGAGCCTGACGTAGGGCTCAAGCCCAGGACCCTGGGGTCATGACATGAGCCGAAGGCAGACACTTAACCGATGAGCCACCCAAGTGCCCCTGACACATTATTATTATTATTTTTTTTTTTTTTAAAGATTTTATTTATTTATTTGAGAGAGAGAGAATGAGAGCGAGCACACGAGACGGGGGAGGGTCAGAGGGAGAAGCAGACTCCCTGCCGAGCAGGGAGCCCGATGCGGGACTCGATCCAGGGACTCCAGGATCATGACCTGAGCCGAAGGCAGTCGCTTAACCAACTGAGCCACCCAGGCGCCCATTGATGACACTTTTAAAAGCAGAAAATCAGTAATTATACCTACCCATAACATGCACTTTTTCTTCTAAATTGTGGATTTTGTGTTGTCCCAACTGTATTCTCTACCTTCACTTTTGCATTTTATCAGACTTCTAAATCCAAGCTCCTTAAAAGTATTGCAACATTTTTTTAAGAGGAGAAACTTCTTAATTAATAAACTTTTCTTTTACAAAGGATCTGTATTAGAAAATTAAGATATTTTACATGGAACTAGACATATTTCCATTTCTTCTCAAAGAAGAGACTTCCCGGTATGTGCATGGTTATAATTTAGCTAGATCTGTCCAATGGATATGGATATCAGATTTGCATTTTAACAGCTTATTAGAAGTCAAAAGAAATCAAGTTTTATTCAACATATCTTTGACTATGTTATAATTTAGAAAGATGCTCAAACTTAGACTCAGGAGTTCTAAGCTACACATTATGGTTTTGCTTTTAACTAATTAATTAAATAGCACTTAGCATTTCATAAAACCTCTCAATTTCCTCACCTGCAAAGTGAGAGAATTAAGCTGAATTTTCTTTATGGTTTCTGTCCATTTACATGTTCTAAGACTGTAAATTTCAGACAAACTCATTGACTTTGATCCATTTATGGGGGGATTTGATCATCTTCAGAGTATCTCATAGTTCTGTACTCCTGCCAACCCAGCCAGCATGTGGAAGACACATGGCTGCTGAGCAGTTCTGAGACCGCTTTACTCTTCCCTGGGGACAGTCTAAAATGGTAGAAATTATCAAAGGGCTCATTGCAAAAGAACAAGAACCTTTGTCTATAGAAGCAAGGGTAAGATGATCACAATGGTATTATCATTGTAAAATAAATCTCTGAACCTTAAATAATACTTGATATATATTCCAAATCAATGAATCAAACAATTTTGTTTAAAAAAAAGGTCTGAAAAATAAATCTTAGGTCAACCTCTGAAGTCCAAGGTAAGCCATGTGTTAAAACAGTATTTGGCCACTACTCTGTCTTTAAGGATCTCATGAATCTCCTGTTTTTCATTTGTATCTCATTCATGCAAATATCCATTCAATGAGTGCTTTACTACCCAAAACATAAGATAACAAGCACCGAGATAGAAACAGACTTACCACATCCAAAATTAAGAGTATGATACTACGTATTTAGCACTAGAAATGTCACAGAATTAAAATTTATGTTTCTAAATTTAAGTTTTTAAAGCATTAAATCATTTTTAAAAAGTATGAACTGATAGATACTGAGTTAAAAGGATGAATAAATTATACACTGACATTATAGTATTTAGTGCAGCACGTAAGAGAGGTTGTAAATAAATAACTATAATGTAATTTGAAGAGTGTTAGTGTAGAGAAAATCCTTTAGAAAATAAAAAGTTTAGCTTAAGTATTAAAATATAAAAGTGGGGCGCCTGGGTGGCTCAGTCAGTGAAAGCAAATGACTCTTGGTTTCGGCTCAGGTCTTGATCTCATGGGTGGTGAGATCAGCCCCACATCAGGCTTCAAGCTCAGCCAGGAGTTGGCTTGAGATTTTCTCCCTCTGCCCCTCCCCTCCACTGTCAGGTTCATGTGCATGCATGTGAGTGCTCTCTCTCTCTCTCAAATGAATAAATCTTTAAAAATATATATAAGCAACTTATTAATTTTCTGAAAGATCTTGCTTATGTTCTAAACTTTGAAACAACTATGACAAATGTTTTTTTAAAAGTAGATATTTTTGCTGGGTGCCTGGATGGCTCAGTTGGTTAAGCAACTGCCTTCGGTTCAGGTCATGATCCTGGAGTCCCAGGATCAAGTCCCACATCAGGCTCCCTGCTCAGCAGGGAGTCTGCTTCTCCCTCTGACCCTCCTCCCTCTCATGCTATCATCCTCTCTCTCTCAAATAAATAAAAAAAAAAATCTTTAAAAGAATAAAAATAAAAAAATAAAAGTAGATATTTTTGCAAGAAACTTAACACTTGACATCTCATTAAAAGAACAATCTTCACAAATGTTAATAACAAGTTTTTTGTTGGTTTGTTTTTAACTGTATCATAGATAATCTAATTATGGTTGTTTTTCTTGGGGTATCTATATACAATAAAAATATTTTAAACCTTTTAAACAAATATGGAATATTTTAACCTATGAGTGTTTGCATTTTGCCTGAAGAATGAAAGAATGCTTTGAATGTTTAGTAAAATAGTGTTTTTTCCTAAAATAGAATGGTTATATCCCCGGGTGCCTAACTCCATGCACTACTGAGTACACACTTGAATGGCCTTTAATATCCTTAAAAGAGCAATGTATCACTTTAATTCACACCAAAGTGTGAAGACAGCTCTACAGAGAATCTGAATTGATATACTTAAATAATATTGAAATACTTAAATAATATTGGAATCATAAAATCAGAGGATTTTAGTGCTGAAAGGGACTTCAGATGTCTTCTAATTTATAACCATTTATGTGAAAAGAATTACTTCCAACATACTACCTGAAATCATGCAGTGAGTGCAGAGTTTATGGAGAAGGGCAATGTAATCAAATCAAATATGCTCCAGTCTTCTTAAGGAAGAGTGAAAATCCGAGGCTTTCCCAGGCACTCTTTGGCTTTTTAGTCTTGCAGAAACAGATCATACCCTGGAAATGAAATGGACCTGTCACCCATCCCTCTGCCAAAAGCAGTGTTCAACTTACATAAAGGAGGACAAGTATGTCCAGTTTATAACCTGTTTTCCTTATTCAAAAAGCAGAAAGCCATGTAACATACCTCTTCACAGGCAGTCCTGAAATCCATGTGCTACGGCACCGTGAAGGATGTCGTCTGAAAAGACAGAGAAATGGTAAGCCATCAAGCACAGCATCGAGTGTAAGAGTGGAGAACGCCAATAAAGCAAAGCATAAGCAATTATGAAGCAGATCCTGTGGGCAAACTGTTTAAGGCCACCTGTAAGGAACAAGAATTCCCGGGGTACAATGAAAAGAGCAGAAGGAAGAGAAAAAAGTCTCAACCTCCGCCCTTGTGCATCCTAAACGTATTGCCATGGTTCAGTGTGACCAAGAGGGTGCATTTCCCTGCACCTCTCCACTCCACTGAGCATTCAGACACGATCTAGGATAGGAGGGACCTCTTCTCTCAAGTGTTGGCTCATTCCCAGCGTTCGTTTTGAAACCTGAGGTTGCAACTGGGAAAGAAACTTCAAAGGAGTAATTAAAAGTTGCCTTTCTTGTGGTTATCTCTTGAAAAAAGATTGACTAATCTTTCTCTTTTTAATTAAAAAGCTACATGCATGAATAATTCTCTGTGGAACTTAAAATTTTATTCACAAACACTATGATGTAAGGAAACAAGCTATTTACCAGAGTGAATAATATTAAGATAAATCGATGTATGAAATATCTGATACAGATTCATTTTGTGCTCATTATAATAACTAAATGGTGAACATAGATTTTAATACATATAAAATGCATATGTGTTTTTTTAATACTTTTAGAGAATTTTATTTTAGTTATATGAGAAACTTAATATAACTAAGAATGGTCATAGAAAATCGACACCCTGACACTATGGAAAAAATGCAGAGCCAAAATATGATATAATTTAGGTAAATGAGACTTCAAAGTAAAATGTATGGTGAATTCCACAGTAAAAGACTGGACTTCTCAAAATTAATCCTCCTTTCAGTCTTAGGAACAGGAAATTATTTTGTCCTTCTTTGTCATTTTCTGTTATATTAGGTTGATAAACACTTTGTCAAGTGTTTATCAAGTAAGTGTGGGTGCAATAGAGCAGGAAATTCACTTAAGCTGTCACTGGATTATTACTATTGCCCCTGAAAGAAAAGAGATTGACTGTTTTCAACAGTTAACTGAACATGCTGCATAATATATTTTCCCTAAATAAGTTTTGTGGGTTGTGGACCTGGTTTTACTTAATTGGAATGCATAAGCAGCTTGATTATAGTAAAGCTAGGTTGCAACAAATCATTTATAAATAAAAGGTAATTTGATGATAAAAATTGTAATTTGATGATATAAATTAATCTTTTTTCTTTCTTTTTAAATTATTTTTTGATGGCAATCTTTTTTTTTCAAATTTTTATTTAAATTCTATTTAGTTAACATATAGTGTAATATTGATTTCAGGAGTAGAATTGAGTGATTCATCACTTACATACAATGTCCGGTGCTCCTCACAAGTGCCCTCCTTAATCCCCATCACCCATTCAGCCCATCCCCCACCCGCTTCCCTCCATCAACCCTCAATTTGTTCTCTATCTTAAAGAGTCTCTTATGGTTTGTCTCCCTCTCTATTTAAATTACTTAATTTTTTGATATCCATGAGAAATTGGTTTTGTTTTATCAATTATTTTTCAAAATTGCTTTTAAAGACTGTGTTGGGAAAAACTATAATATCTGTTTATTTCCAACTTTGACATAAAGTTATTCCTTTACTATAAAAGTAGAATTTCAATATTTATTGATTATATAAAAACATGGTATCTCTAAGATCAATTTCCTGCTACTAAAAAGCAACTAGAGAAATAGACATGAGGGTATTTAGCCATCTGTCTAAACATAAGCTCATGTTCAGTTTCAAATGCTGAATACATTTTAAGACATCATTAATAATATGATGCATTATGCCTGCATCTCTACCATTTTTAACATTTTCATTATTTTCCCTGAATCTTCCATTATTTTCATCAAAATATTAGGTAGTAATATCAATATTTATTCAGAAAAAAATCTTGAATAACTGGTACCCAGTTATGCAATCAAACACTAACATCAGAGTTGCTGTGGGGGTATTTTGTAGATATGGCTAATATCTACAATCAGTCGACTTTAAGTAAATGAGATTATTCTAGATAATGTGGGCGAGACTCATGCAAACAATTGAAAGGCCTTGAAGGCAAACTCAGACATTTCTCTGGTAAAGAACACCTGCTTCAAGACTGCAGGACCAATTCCTACATCATTTCCAGGCTTCTAGCCTATCTTTTAGATTTCAGACTTGCCAGCTCCAACAGTAGTGTGAGCCAATTCCTTGAAATTAATCTCAGCGTATGTATCCAGATGTATAGGTGTCAAACTGGTTCTGTTGTCTGGAGGATCTTGACTGATAAAATAGTGAGTGCCAGTGAGATTTATGATTTTACTATTCAGAATTATTGTGACAATAACTGACTAAAAGAGCATGTCTCAAAGTATTTCTGAAAGTCCATTAAGCACAACTAATAAGTAAAGCAATTTCAATATCATGAGTTTCAAAATATATTGTATACCAGATATTTCTAAGTTATACTACAAAAAAAAAAAAAAAAAAAACGAGAAAAGCATTTCATTTTGCAGTGGTCCATTAACAAAATAACAATATATTAATTGAAAATTTCAAACTTAATCTTTTCTCAGAAAACAAAAATGCCATTTTTCCCCTAGAGACACACTCATCATCTCCATACTATTTTTTCCTATTCACATATGAAATTTTTAGGGCTTTCTTTGTATAATTGTTTTAAATAAGTTGATTTGTATTAAGATATAATGCAATTTCCAAATGCTCTTATCTCCATATCCAGGGATAAGGAAAAAAATAGTTTATTGATTTATTAGTATCTAGTATAGTTGCACTAGGAAAAAACAAAGCCTTTATGAAAATTAGTTTCTTAAAATATGATTAGTAGAAAATCTCATCACTTAAAAATATGATGAGAATAGCAATGCATAAATAGCTTGGATGAATAATAATAAGATTAATAATGATAAAACTACAGAATCACAATATTTAAATGTGACCTACCTTATTCGTGATCCATTTAGAATCCCCATGACCAGCTCAGTGATAAGCCACACTGCATGGAAAAGTCCTAGCCTAAGGAAACCAGTTTCTACTAGTATTATGTAAGTGCCCCAACAACAAGTGAAGAAGGCATGGTCCCTGCCCAAGAAAAGAGAAGGTGGTGATGAATATTTCTTGAGCACTTTACATTAATGTGTAATGTATAAGTGTATGGCATACACTTAAATGGTATGGTTCAACAGACTTGGCTTCTGTCCACAGGTCTTGCCTCTCACGGTTCTAGTACCCAGAAATTAACACCAATTATTGTCTTCAACTATGTTGAGAATAGCACCAATTCCTGTTGACTTAAACTCATCTTTGTAACCAAAACAAGGAAATCAAAATTAGACAAATACAGCCAAATTCATGCATGCTGCATATAAAATTTCAAAATGCTTCATCTGGCATGAGGCCGATAAAATAAAAAGAATGTACCTCTACAAAAACACACACCCAGAAAAATGTTGAAATGGAGAACTGAGTTGGTAGTTACATACGATAGAATAGAAAGCATTGGTACAAAAATATTTTGGACTTAAATTACTTAGATAATTTTCAGAATGCTTTAGTGAGTATAAAAAAAAAGTCTTCATAATACTCTGCTTACTATGACAGTTCAGTTTACTGAAGGGAAAAATGTTATCTATTTATAGAATTTGCCCTAGGCAAAATTATGATATATACAAAATTTATCTTCCATCTTTTTGTGTATCCCAAACTCAAACCCAGTATATACCCTCTCCAGATGCTTCCACAACTTCAGCTGGTGCCTGACTGTTTACAAATTGATTAATTGGTCCCCCTCAAAATTGGTTAAAACAATAGGATTGAAAATGACAGTTGCAGTCAGTCTCTCGGGTTTCCTTTTTAGTGAACGTTTAGTTCATTTAGGATCGTGTGCCTTGAGGCAACTATTTATGTAGCCTTCATCTTTTTTTTAGTTGAAGTATAATTTACATAAAATATCCTATTATTTTCAGGTATACATCACAGTGATTGGATATTTTTATACATATGAAATGATCCTCAAAATAAGTCTAGTTACCATCCGTCACCCTACAAAGTTATTACAGTAATATTGACTCTTTACTATGTTGTACATTATTTAATAGTTGAAAGTTTGTACCTTTTAATCCCCTTCACCTATTTTGCACACCAACCCTACCTCCTATGGTATCCAACAGTTTCCTGTATTTATGAGTCTGTTTCTGTTTTGTTTTTTCTTTTAGACGCCACATATAAGTGAAATCATATATTTGTCTTTCTGTCTGATTTATTTCACTTAGCGTAATATGCTGTAGATGTATCTATGTTGTTGTAAATGGCAAGACTTCATTCTTTTATTATGGCTGAGTAGTATTCTACTACATACATATAGACATGCATAACATACATATACATGTGTACCACATATATATGTATATCACATGTATATATCACATCTTTTTTATCTGTTTTCTATCAATGTACACTTAAGTGTCTTGCTTCCATATCTTAGCTATTATAAGTAATGCTGCAACGGACATAGGGGTGCATATATCTTTTTGGATTGGTACTTTTGATTTCTTTGGATAAATACCCAGAAGTGGAATTTATTGTAGATTTGTGTGGTAGTTCTATTTTTAATTTTTGGAGTAATCTGTATACTGTTTTCCATAGTGGCTGCACTAATATACATTCCCACCAACAAAGTGGGAGGGTCCCTTTTCTCCACATCCTTGACCACACTTATTTTTTTTATCTTTTTGATAATAGTCAATCTCATAGGTGTGAGACATAATTCATTCTGGTTTTGTTTTGCAGTTCCCTCACAATTATTGATATTGAGTGTCTTTTCATGTGCCTATTGCCCATCTGTATGTCTTCTGTGGAAAAATATCTATTCAAGTCTTCTGTCCATTTTTTAATTGGGTTCTTTTCTTTTTTGATATTAAGTTGTGTAAGATCTTTATATATTCTGAATATTAACCCCTTAT